GTGACGCAATCATCACACATGGAGGACCCCACTCTGGGGCCGTGTGGAAACACCCTTTGGGTGAGAGCAAAGCAGGACACTTGTACTACACAAGCAAGGGATGGATTTTGGCATGCAGCTACCACTGCTGAGATGAAAACCGCTGGGACCTGGGTACATGGGAGGAGGTTAGCAGGGTGGGAGTGAGGTATGGAAGCACACAGCACTATTCTGTCTGCCATGGAGCAGGACCCAGACATCAGTTTGGGCCAAGGGAAGTGTGTGCCACATCAACTCAGTAATCTTCCAAAGAGCTTTTCACCAAGTGGAAATATGTTCAGAGCAACACTTTCAGAGCATTCTTGGTAAGAACCATCCAAAACTGTCTAGAAAGAATGCCCACTAAGATACCAACAGAACCAAAAGTAATTCTGGTTTTGAGAGAAGGTTTTGTGCAGTCCAGGGTAGCCTTGAACTCACCATGTAGCCAAGGATGACCTTTAACTCCAGACCCATCTCCCAAATGCTAGGGTCACAGGCTCTCGACACCATACACTTTCTCTGAAGATGTGACAGCAGAAATAGAGGTATTTTGAAGCCTTGCTTTCTAGTTATGCTGATTAAAAGCTATTACTGATAAAGGATATGTGTAGGCTAGGCAGCATCTTGGTTTCCATAATCGGCTGCTGTAATGTTCAGTCATTATTACCCTGCATGGACTTCATAGCAAAATAGAAGAAATCTTTTAGGGTGGTTTATATTCAACTATGTAAACATGTAAACATGACCATGATATTAAAATAACTCAAACTGCTTAATGATGAGTATAACATAATCCTTTGCTTGTAGATGGTGGTGACTACAAGAGTGAGAGTGGAAACCATGGGCGAGCCTTGCATTTCACAGATTCTCTTTTTTTTTTTTTTTTTTTTTTTGGTTTTTTGAGACAGGGTTTCTCTGTGTAGCTTTGGAGCCTATCCTGGCACTCACTCTGGCACCAGGCTGGCCTCAAACTCACAGAGATCCACCTGCCCTGCCTCCTGAGTGCTGGGATTAAAGGCATACGCCACCAACGCCTGGCTCACAGATTCTCTTCTATAGGTGGGCTACTTTTCTGTGTGTCTTAAGGTAAAGGCTCCCCCAGTACATTGCTTCAGCCTGTGCACACTCAAACCAGCCAGTGCTCAGTTAACCCAAGTAAATCTAACATTATTGTTCCGGGCAGGTATAACCCATTTCCTCCACTCAAGTTTCTAGCCAGAGACTATCACAAAGGCTTAGAACATGTGGTACGTTTAAAGAAAGGCAGGAGAGGCAGCTTTGATCTGGCTTCTGTATGTGCTTCTTGAAGCAGCTTGTGGTTAGTCTTTAATTCAACTAAAGGTGTTTTTCTGCATTGACTTCGAAGGTAAGACCATGGGATACCCCACCCCCGAAGACTGAAAATGGGTTTTTAAAATCTAGTGCAGAAACTCTGAATATAATTAAAACCTCCTAACCAAACTTCAAATGGACTGGTTGAATATGTAAATTATATCCCAATAAAACTGTTTCATAATACTTCAAAAACAAAGGAAACAATAGTTCTCTAAGTTTATATGCAAACTGATTGTTTACATTGTTATAGACACTTGTTCAGTGATTTATTTTTCTATTTGTGAAGTTAAGTAAGCTGGGTATGGTGGTGTACACCTTTAGTCCCAGCACTTGGGAGACAGATCTCTGGGTCTGAGGTCAGCCTCGTCTACAAAGAAAGAGTTCTTTGTTCCAGGACAACCAGGACACACACACACACACACACACACACACACACACACACACACACACCATCTTGAAAACCAAAAAGGCAGGGCGGTGGTGGCGCACGCCTTTAATCCCAGCACTTGGGAGACAGACCTCTGGGTCTGAGGTCAGCCTCGTCTACAAAGAAAGAGTTCTTTGTTCCAGGACAACCAGGACACACACACACACAATCTTGAACACACAAAAAAAACCCCTCTAAAAAAAAAAAAAAAAAAAAAAAAAAAAAAAACCCAAAAAAACCAAAAAGAACAAAACACAAAAACAAAACAAAAAAAGAAAAAGGAAAGTAGGTGGGATAAAATAGAGTAGAATAAAATAGAATTATAAATTTCCGATTAAATGTAAACTTTTTGTTGTTGTTAATAGCTTTCACTCAGAAGCATTTTGGTTAACAAACTTACTAAGTAAGAGAAAGATTTAACTATGTTAAATTTTTAAGGAGTCTAGTTGGGCGTTGGTGGTGACGCCTTTAATCGCAGCACTCGGGAGGCAGAGGAAGGCGGGTCTCTGTGAGTTCGAGGCCAGCCTAGCCTCCAGAGGGAGTGCCAGGATAGGCTCCAAAGCTACACAGAGAAACCCTGTCTCAAAAAGCAAAAAAAAAAAAAAAATTAAGGAGTCTAGACTCAGCAGATAAAGACTTTGAGTCTTAGTGAAGTATAAATAGTGAACTGGTTTGGCCTGAGTGACAGGAATAAAACTTATTGTGCCCACTGAAAGATTTACAACCTCCAAAATGGCATACCGCTAACCCTGTAGGGTAGAGATGCCAGTGAATGTCAGAGAACCCAGGAAAGCCACAGAAAGAGCAATGAGATCGTGGCTGAGGGCTGACTGAAGACTCTAGCTTGCTCGTTCACTCTAGTTTGCTGTTGTCCAATCAGTCCATGGACTTCACTCAGTTCCAACCTTGGAAGAGAAAAACAGCTCCATGTTTCTCAACCAGGATTACAAATAATTTTCTAAACTCGAAAGTAATTTAAATCCACTTATTCCATTTTACTATCCTTTGTGAAACAATTTGTATAATGAACTGCAAGTCCTTTGTGGGGTTTTTTTTGGGGGGGGGGTGCTGGGTAGCAAGGTTTGGGCACTTTTCTAGCAGATGTAGGGGAACTGGAACAATCATGAGGATAAATAACACTTAAATACCCAAGGGATCATTCAGCCAATGAGAAACGGGCCACGGCTGTGAGAAGCCTAGTTCTGGAGAAGATAAAACGTGGTAAACATACTATTTAGCTCTGTCCAGTAAAAGACAAGGGAAACTCAGTGGAGGCGAGGGTTGATCCAAACGTCAGTGATTTTGTTTTTCTGAGAAATGAAGCAACTTTGAGTAATAAAATCTAGCAACGCAAATGAAAATGTTTTAACAAGTTTTCTTTTTCATACTACATCTGATTCCAGTCATGAGTAAAAAAGAGAGAGCATAAGCCAAGAGAAAATAAAATTGTTTAAGTATTACTTGATTCTCTGGGTGGAATTGTGTTTAGCTCTCCCGAGGTCAGGACAGCTTGCTTTTGCTTTTGCTTTTTTTTTTTTTTTTCCTTTCTTTTTTTTTCAAAAAGGCTTTTTTAAAAAGGGAGCTCTCTGTTTTCATGAGACATTAAAAATTCTTTTAAAGCCCTTCCCATCAAAGATAAATCATTTTGGGAAATGTGAGCGATTCCAAAAACAATCGCAGCTTTTCATTTATGGCCATCAGACTTAATTTCCTCTTCATACTCATTCACCTGCAGCACAAATTCTCCATGAATTTTGCCAGATAGTATTTACAAGTTACAAACAGGGCAATTACTTTCTCTGCTGCATGAGATCATTTCAAAAAAGGAAGAAGAAAGAGGAAGAGGAAGAGGAAGAGGAAGAGGAAGAGGAAGAGGAAGAGGAAGAGGAAGAGGAAGAGGAAGAGGAAGAGGAAGAGGAAGAGGAAGAGGAAGAGGAAGAGGAAGAGGAAGAGGAAGAGGAAGACGAAGACGAAGACGAAGACGAAGACGAAGACGAAGACGAAGACAAAGAAATAAATCTAGTTAAGGGTGGTGATAATGATGGCATCTGAAGCCATGGAATTCTACAGGGCTTCTGATGCCAAGCAAGCGCGCTTTGTCTCTCTCCGATGGGGGCAATTTCCACCCAGAACAGCTTTCCCACAGCAGCTATAATGCAGTTTGGGAAATCTCAAGTCGAGGGTCTGTGTCTTGGAATGCCAAACCACAACAATAAAAACAAAGCTGTAGATGGGACAGGACATGCTGACTTTGGCTTGCTTCCTCCCAGTTAGCTCTTCCTGGTTCGGTTCGTGAGAGCTGTTGTTTGTTGGCAGGACCCAAAACAGAATTTTTAAGCTTAGTGTTAATGTATGCCTCTGTCACTCTGTCATCTCCCTCTCTACCTGACTCATTTCTTAGAGACTTTGAGCAGTATTTGGTTATACTAAGTATTCGAGCAATACCTCTGCTGTCAATCATTATAGTCATCATCCAGAGACCGAAACTATATTCAGTACTCAGACCTTAACCCATCACTCTAATGACTTAGTGTGGGATGAATTGTTTCCAACTGCTTGCCCATAAGATAGGTGCTTATTTTTAAGCCCAAGGGTCCTGTCTCTCAGTCCATTACCATAAGAAAAGTGAGTTCTCAAACAAACCACTGCTGTGGGGAGAAAATGAGCAGGAGATGACCCCAGGGGGAAAGAATCGAGACACTGAGACATGAGAACATGATGCAATTATCTGAAGTCACAGGGGGAAATGTGAACATGGCCTGGACATGGAGCATGTTATAGCATTATTTTTACTAGGTGTTACAGTGGCATGTGGCTGTGGAGAATTGTCCTTAGGAAAATGCAGGCGGAACTGTTTATGGGTGAAGTACTGTGACATCAGTATCTCATTCTCAAGTGGTTCAGAAAAAAAAAAATCTGTCTGGGTTTTGTCTTATTTTATTGGGTTTTGTTTGAGGGTCTCAATAGCCTAGACTGGCCTCAAACTCACAGCAATTCTCCTGCCTCAGACTTTGAAGTGGAAGGTTTTAAATATACAGGAAAAGCAAATGTACTACATTCATTGGTGAACCTACATGAGGAGTTTATGTCGGGATAGTATTTTACCAGCAACCTTTTCCTGAGTGTGAAAAAAAAAAGTTGGGAATAAAAATATGTGGTAAAAATAAAACCTTTATTAAAAACAATACATATTAATTTAAATATTTTGCTATAATAATGTACATTGATATTATTTATTTACTCTATTAAAAGATCTATTCATCACAGTCTCTCTTGAAATAACTTTGATTAAACATATTATTTTACTTTCACTTCTAAAATGCAGTCTCTCACATATAATCAAAATAGTTCCATAAATATCTTAGAGTCAATCAGATGTAGGCTTAAGGATCTTAAGTTAAAATTTCAGTAACTTATATGCCTCAGTAACTTTTTTCAGCATTTCTTCTTTGTTTTTCTTCTTTGTCTAAAATGGTCTGCTTTAAGCTCAACACAGCATCTTGAAATCCAGGATTTAGGTCTAACACCTTCTTGAAATCTTCCAAAGCTTCGTCAAAATACCCTAGAGCAGAATCCCACAGATGAAAAGAAAAGAAAAAAAAGTTGAGTATTTCCACAACTGTACATGTTTTCACATTTATGAACTTTCAAATTGCCAGCAAAAGGAAGCTGCCTCTGTCAGTGATCGAGACCGTCCATCATAATAACGTGTGCCCTTATGAAACAAGCGATCTAAAGTCAGGATGAGGACAGGGAACCATGCCCAGCAACATTAGCACTCGTCTAACAGACTAACAGGGTATAACAGGCCCGGTTCAATCTCCAACAACAGACAACACAAAAACCAGGGAAAATTAGTGGTTGTTTTTAATCACATTTAACAGGCCGCCAGCATATCAATCATCATAAAATTTCAACAAAACTACATCTCCCATTTTACGTAGCTGCAGGAAAACTGAGAAATAGTTTTTTTTTTCTTTTTTCTTTTCAATGGGAAACAGTATCCAAAGCCCCTTTAATCCAGGCTTCTAAAAACTTCACTGTCCACTGTCCCTGCCTTTTCAACTAGAAAGTGTCACAGGTACACGTCAGCATTACCCTCATTTTGAGGCTGGGAATGCACAGGCACAGAGTAATGGGGTCACCCTGGCTTCTGTATCCAGTTCCGTTCCTACAGCAGTGTTCTGCTGTGTCTGTAACACTTAGGAAATGCCTTTAAAAAAGAAAGAAGGAAGGAAGGAAGGAAGGAAGGAAGGAAGGAAGGAAGGAAGGAAGTCACTCAGAAAAGCTTCTCTAATCCTAAATTTCACCCAATTGTCAAACTTGACTCCTTCACAACAGTTGATCACTCTGAAGCAATGGATATGGAATACAGTCCACAAGAAAAGCAAAAACTTAGAGGAAAAAAAAAAAAAAAACTTACCCAGCCTATAGCGTATCAAACCTCTGTTGTAATACGGAACTTCAAAGTTAGGCAGGATTTCTATAGCCGATGTGTAGTCGTCCATGGCTTCATAAAAATCAACGCTGAAGTACTTGGTTTGCCCCCTGTTGTTATATGCGGTGGCCAAATCCTCAGGGCTGCATTTGCTTTAAACAAGAAGTTCACATTAAAAGCACATTGTTAAACTCCCCTCACTTCCACTCCCATGCTCTTTGGGGCTCTGTTAAACTCCATAGCCTACAACACACTGTGTGGAAGCTGAAATGCCAAGTTGAAGAAGCAAAATGCACTTGAAAAACAGCAATCAATTTCTGTTTAGGCTATCAGCGACTTTCACTGGGCTGCAGCACAATGTGGATTTGAAGTCTGTGGGTGTTAGAGTCTTCAAAGCCCCTGTTCTTTGCCAACAGGTTTTGCTCAATACTAAAATGATTGTTGAACATTTTTAGAGCATGCTGACCAAGGAAAGCCCTCCCAGGTACCAGTGCACTACAAAAGTGTCACAGTCACTTTTAATTTACTCTAAAATGTAGGTGGTCTTCAAACAATGACATCTGAAATCACTTTCTGCCCGTAAAGAAACACTGGTTAAGCAGTGGTTAACCATAGGTTGAATATTCCACAGTTCTGCCCTTCCTGTGAGAATCCAGACACCCGGCAGCTGGGACACACACTAGTTCAAAGCCACCCACTGTCACTACCTACGACAAATTATCTTCACTGCTCCGAGACAGGAGTGTTTCTGCCTTCCTTCCTTCCTTCCTCCCTTTCTTCCTCCCTCTCCCTTCCTTCCTTTCTCCCTCCCTCCCTTTGTCCTTTTTCCCAAAGTGATTGTCAAATTTGAACCAGAGGAACTACATGTTCAATCCATCTTCTGTTATACCCAGTGGTATAAAGCATAGTCCTCAGAAAACACAGCTAACAGCAGTCACCTATTTTTTTTTCTAAAATAAGAAAAATTATTATTTTATGTGTGTGAGCACACCCACCTGTGCAGCCACCTGGAGTTAAAACTCTGTGACATCACATCTCTCCACCTTTACATGGGCTCCAGGAATCGAACTCAGATGCCAGGCTGGTACAGCTGAGCCCTATCACTGGCCCATCTGCTGTTTCTCTTGACATATTAATCCTTGAGAACTCAGACAGGGACTGTGACTACTGCTGCACACAGGGGTCCTTTCAGTTTAGGGGAGTGGGGTGGGGTGGAGGTCTGTTTGGTTGTTTTAGGGTTTGGGGCCTGGAACTCACTACTTTGAGCTGGCTGGCCTCTGCCTCCGGAGTGCTGCGATCAAAACATGCTCACCACACCCTCATGGTCCTGCAGTTTAAACTTCGTAATAGTGGGGAGGAACCATTGGAACTTAGAAATTTTCTGTTTTGTCAGTTGACTGAGAAAGACAGACAAAAGGACCCCTCTCAAGACCACCGTTAAAGACTAAAAAAACAGAAGGCTGTGTGTTCTCTGTCTATTAGGACACTAGCTGAGCTGCTGTCCTCAGACTTCAGAAAGAAAATGCTGCCTCGGGACTTCAGTAAAATTTTCATTATTCATTTGAGGTTTCAACACTTTGTCATAAATTCTCATCCTTAGATGATCAGAATGTTAGATTTCATTACGGCAAATTCTAAAATCCTACTTTTCATGAAAGCAGACATGCTGTTTGCAATCTTAAAGACATGGGCAGGGGCTGGAGAGATGGTTCAACAATTAAGAGCACTTGTTGCTCTTCCAGAGGACCCAAGTTCAATTCCCAGCACCCACATGGTGGTTCACAAACTTTAACTCTAACTCCAGTGCCAGAGAATCTAAAGGCCTCTGTGGGTATTGTACACTCCTGGTACACAGACACACATGTAGGCAAAACACCCATACAGATTTATAAGAAATCTTTTTTTAAAGAGATAGGCTAATACTGAACATTGACTTTCATTGTAATGATATTGATTTTTTTTTTAAAGACAGTATTTCCTTTGAGAATTTTCACTTATTGCATGTGTGTACTGTGGAAGAACACATGCCACAGTATGTCTGTAGGGGCCAGAGTAGTGCTCTCTCTCCTTCCAGCTTCACACACATTCCAGGGTTTGAACTTAGGTCATTAGGCTTGTATGGCAAGCACCTTTACCCACCGGAACCCATGATAGTATTTTCTGTACTGCATTTAACCAAACTACCTAATCTAAATATGGAATTTTAGCATTTGCTAACGGTGAACAAGATAAGTATTTGAAAAATTAAATTATGGCTAAAGCTGACCTTGGATATTAAAAAAAAAAAAAGACAAATCAGAATGAAAAGCAATCAAGGACTGCAAACACTATTTTAAAATGATTCAGCCATCTAATGTTTTAAAAAATAAGCTTAAATTTCCAAAGACATATTTAAGGGTACAAGTTGAACTGATAGACTTCAAGTTCTGAACTCTAAGGAAACTGAAGGCTCATTTTACAGATGAGAAAGTGGCCAGAGAAAAGGTGCCAGTGGAACAGTAATGCTCAGAACATGGGCATCCTGAACTGTTACAGCTATGCCAGGTGGGTTTTCCAGCCCGTACAGCACAGAGATCAGCTTACTGTGATGGACATAGGTTCTTGGGCTGAGATGTACAAAGGGGGAAGAATAACAATCCCAAGTATCATCCACATACCTGCCCACTGATTGTTTCTGAAACTTCCTGAGTAAACCTGTCCCAGCCTTACACAAGAATACAAATGAGGTCTTCTATGCCTGCCAGCCATTTTTATCAGGAGTGGTGGTGGAGATGAAACAGGAATGGTAATATCTTTTAACAAAGAGTCAGTGGAATGCTCGCCTACATCAACACTCTTCCCTCTCCCCAAGGCTCAGGGGAGGGGGAAGAGAGGGCAGAAAAACTGGACGAGCCTGGGGTTGAGAGAGGAACAGTGAAACAGTGATTTCTGAGCATTGCAGGGCCACTGCACTCAGGGCTCACTCAGACGAGCTGTGGTTGATCACTAACACGATCAAGCCAGGTTAACACTCCAGCATTGCTGAGGTGGGGCTCATAGTGCCTACCCCAGAGGAACTACAGACAGTTAACAGAATCTTTGGGAGGCAGGGAGGGAGGGAGGCAGGGAGGGAGGGAGGGTCAGTTTTCTTTAAGGGTATGGCTCCTAGTAGGTTGACCAAACTCTCTGATGGCCCATGAGTAAATAGGCAGAACAAAATGGGACAGATGACAAAGTGTGGGTAGAGCTGAGTGGAAAGATGAATAGTGTGGGAGGGGGTGAAGATTATCAAAATACATCGTATGAAATTCTCAAAGGATTAATAAAAATACTGTATTTTTTAGTTTTTATTTAGAGAATACTTTATTAGTTTTTGTAATCAAACCCATGTAGATAAGACCTTACATATTTAATACAGTGTGTTACCCCTGTACAAATGGAAAAAAAATTAAGTTCAACATTTCTAGACCAATATAGATGTTAATTTCTCTGCAATGCCAGCTCAACACGGTAAACTGGGATACTTTTTTCCAAAGTTCCAAAGTTGACAGCACAGCTAAAGTTTCCAAAAATTCAAATTATATATGTATATATATATATATATAATTTATATAAAAATAGCAGTATGTTATGCATCAATAGCAGCAACAGCTTTTCCAGGTTCTGCAGTCATTTGAACAAAATTGTAGAGACATCCAGCACACTCCATTAAAAAAAAAAAAGAAAAAACCAAAATCCCAGAAAACAGCACAGTTCTGTTACTCTTGTGGTACCTGGCACCATTTTTTTTTTTTAATAGCTTCTCAAACATCATCTGGAAGGAAACCATTCTGAGCAACATCATTAAAAACAGCTCTGATAAAGCACGGACACTACTATGTATCATAAAGCAGGCCCACATATGAGTGAGTACATATCATGTTTGTCTTTTTGTGATTGGGTTACCTCGCTCAGAATGGTTTCTTCAAGTTCCATCCATTTTCCTGCAAATTTCAAGATTCTATTTTTTTTTTCTTAGTAGTACTCCATTGTATAAATTACCACATTTTCTCTATCCATTCTTCGGTTGAGGGGCATCTAGGCTGCTTCCAGTTTCTGGCTATTACAAATAATGCTGCTATGAACATGGTTGAACAGATGTCCTTGTTGTATGATACTGTATTTTTTAATAAAGAAATTTCTGTTAACTATCATGCTATTATAGTGCTAAAATTAAAAGGCAATTTTAGTTTTCTGGCTTAATTCCATGTGAATGTTAGAAACAAATAGGAATGCAGCCTTCAGTATTAGATCTCATACAAAAGACAAGCTTGCATTCAAAAAAAAAAAAAAAAAAAACTTTCCAGGACAAGCCAGGAGTACTGGCACATGCCTTTACTCCCAGTACTTTGGGAGGCAGAGGCAAGTGGATCTCTGAATTCAAGACCAGTGTGCAGACTAGGGTGCAGAGGGAGTTCCAGGACAGCCAGAACTACACCTGTCTCAAAACCAAAAAAAAAAAAAAAAAAAAAAAAATCTTTCAAGAGAAAGAAAAGAAGGGTGATGCTGCAGGTCACACAAGCGTCAAGAAAATTAGCCAGCAAATTTCTCTGTGTCCACTCCACACCATCCACAAGCACAATAAAGGCTAAACTTAAGTAACTAATGCTACATAGCCAGGCATCAACGGAGAAGCAAAGGAGCCTGCTAACAAACCAGCTTCAAGTGCTTACAGCGGAACCTGCAGACAGAAAAGCTCTCCTATCTGAGCTGGATCAAGTCTCCAGATTTAACAACCAATTCACAACCAATACAGAAAGACAGGGAGTTGACGCTTCTGTGACAGGTAGACAGATCAGGAGAGGAGCCAGGATAAGCTGGCTGGCTTCTTTCTTACCCTGCTAACCAGAAACAAAAACCTGGCAGCCTAAATAGGAGGCCTGGTGGGACTTTTCTCCCACTAGTAGGGCCCCTGCTCATGGATCTGCTCTTCTCCTACACAAGTTCAAAGCTGGGTCAGGACTGTTTAGGCCAAAGATGAGGACCTATCAGCACCCTATGTTCAAACTGACCAACCCTCAGTCCCTTAAAACCTCCAGAAGCCTCGATTTGGGGACACCTGAAATCCCTCCCGGTTCTGCATGTTTCCTCACCCCTAGAAAATCCTGCTGCTGTTAACTGTCACTTCCTTCATTAGTTGCTCTTGAGGTCTCCCCTGCTACTACATACCCTGGCTTGAGATTTTTACTGTCTCCTGATCCTTTAACTGGCAGAGAACAGGAACCCAATCAAGACCCCTAGATGCCAAACTTTTAGTAGACGGACTATCACAGACACCTGGCTCGATTCAGCAGCTCCAAAATACGTTAACTTGAAATACTGCCCCGTTTTCTCAAGACTTAGATCGGGGTGGGCTTAAATAGGGGGGGTCGGGTGTGCATCACCCAAGAATCTAAATAACGAGCTTTACTGGCCAATAAAAATGCGTGGACGGCTGGATATTCGACAGAAATGAACCTTGGGATGCTACGGGATGTCTGCAAGGTTCTCGCTGTGGTCCTGAGGAGAGCGGCACAGGGTGCCGCCTTCGCGACCCAGGGACAGGACTCCGAGGACCACCCCAGGCCAGCCCCAGTCCCGGCCCCCGGTCCCGTCCTCTCCCGGTCCCCGTCCCCGTCCCCACCCGGGGCTCCGAGGACCCCTTCCGTACGAGGACCACCCCGTCTCGCGATACTTACCTCCCGCGACTGGCGCACTGGCCAATAAACGCCGAGTACAGCGCCTGCGCCTCGGCAAACTCGCCCCTGGCGAAGCGAGCCTGGGCCAACGCCAGGGCGGCCGGCTTCTCTCGGCTCTCTCGGTCCGGCGGTCCGGCCATAACCACCTCGCTCGAGTGGAAACGGAACCACAGCCGCCCGCCGGCGCACGGGACTTAACTTCATTGGCTAACGAAAGCGCGCCGATAGTGAAGAAGTTTGTCCTGTCTGAGGACCCGTAATATCGCGAGATGACCAGTAACGTCTGGCGAAGCTGGCGGGAAATTTTAAGAGAATAAAAATCTGATGGATAGATGCTTGGATGGATGGGTGGATAGATACATAGATCATACATACATACATACATACATACATACATACATACATACATACATACATACATACATACATACATATGAATGATAGAGATGGGTGGATAGATGATAGTTAGATATATGTGCTTATTTATTTATTTGAGGTGCCTGATGCCGGGAAGGGGAGAAGATTGGCCCTGAAGTCAGTTTCTTTTGTTTTAAGTGAGGGTCGTTTGTTTTTAAGGAAGCAATTAAAAACGGTGCTTATGTGCTGATTCTGGGTGAATTGAAGGCTAATATTTAAAACACTAAGTTCCAAAAATAAAAAGAATGTAACTATCTAAGTAGAGCAGTTCCCAGTGCATAAAAAGGGAGTGCTGTAGTGTGCATGTAGTCCCCCCCCTCCAAAGCTCATGAGTACAACTCTTAATGTACAGGTGGGCTCCAGCCTCTGGAATGGACTAGCGCCACTCATTTAAAAGGCAGAATGCTGCACACCCGTTCCTTCTATGCCTTTTGTCATGTTATGATGAGGCGAGAAGGCCTGTACTTTCGTGGGCTTCCCAGCCACCAAACCCAAATCAAATGAACTTATTTATATGTGACCCAGACTAGCATTGTTACGGTGATACTAAATAAATATTACGAGGCATTTGATAGAATTAGCTATAAAAATAAAGGTCAGAGAAGACAGACATCAACTTGGAAAGTAGTTGTCATCTTTAATGTAGAACTTCCTGCTGAAACAGTATATATTAAATCTACAGTGTGGCGCACACAGTTTAAAACTGGGATGAATATAGTGAACATTGTTTTTGGTGGGTTGGGTTTTTTGTTTGTTTTGTGGGGGGGGTTGTTTTTTGTTGTCTTTGTTTTTCAAGGCAGAGTTTCTCAGTATAGCCCTAGTTATCCTGAAACTCACTCTGTAGACCAGGCTGATCTCAAACTCAGAAATCTGCCTGCCTCTGCTTCCCAAGTTCTGGGATTAAAAGCATACAACAACACCACCTGGCAGCACAGTCTTTTTAAGTTAGATGATGGTTACTAACATGTAGAGAAAGAGAACATCATTTATTTGTCCCTTTTTATGTAAAGAATAGATGGGAAAGTAAATAGGAACCAATACTGACTCATGAAGATCTAGAAAAACAACAACAGACCTCTGGCTGGCAAAGCAGCTGATATTGAGACCTGATGGCTACACCAGTGATTGGAAGCATTTAAGGAAGAGTCAACACCAGCCCTTAAACTCTCACAACAACAGGAAAGAACACATCTTACATTACTCTGTGAAGCAAATATTGCTGATGCCAACACTTAGCAGACACTAGAGCACTCGTTCACAACCTTCCTGATGCTACAACCCTTTAATACATATATGTTGTGGTGACCCCAACCATAAAATTATTTTCGTTACTACCTTATAACTAATTTTGCCGCTGTTATGAATTGTAATGGAAATATCTGATATTCTGGATGGTCTTAAGGGGACCCCTGTGAAAGGGTCATAAGACCCAAAGGGGTTGTGACCCACATGTTGAGAACCATGTCACTAGAAGAAAACTACAGACCAATCAATATCCATTGTGACTGTCATTAATGAGAAGCTTGGCATTTTGGTTGTGAGCCTAGGCTTTAATGGCTGAACCATCTCTCCAGCCTGCATTAATAGAAAACTTAACAAAAAGACTACCATATCAAATGTAGCAACATATTGAAAGAATTATACACTGTAACCAAATGAGAATTACTCCTGAAATACAAGGATAACACAACACATGAAAAATAATCAGTGTAACATACCACATTAGCAGAATAAAAAGGGGAAAAAACTGTGTGGTCTTCTCAATTCACATAGGAAAGCATTTAAAAAATTAAAACCCTTTATACTAGTCATTGTTATTAGTGAGACCATACAGGCTCTCTTTCCCTTGCCTATTTTATGGCACATCTCACTCTTTTAACTTCTGTGCTCTCCCTTGCTCTCTCTCCTCTCTCTCCTCTCTCTCTCTCTCTCTCTCTCTCTCTCTCTCCCTCCCTCCCTCCCTCCCTCCCTCCCTCTCTCCATGCTTATACCAGTCGGTGAGCATGCAAATGTCTGTGCGTGTCTTTTTTTCATGTGTGTACATATGTTCATGAATATGGGACCAGAGATTGTTGAGTGTCTTCCTCCGCTGTTCTGCGCTTATTGAGACAGGGTCTCATGCTGAACCCCAGTGCGTAGGGGAAAAGGGCCAAAGAAACACGCCCTGAGCAGAGCCAAAGAAACACACTTTGAACCTGGAATCAGAGCCAGTGAAAGGAATACACCTTGGCCCTAAAACTAGAGCCAAAAGGCTAAGAAAGGACCAGCAAAAGAAACATACTTTGGCCCTGAAAGCAGAGCCAAATCTGACCCTAAACCTGTGCAGAAAACTAACCTATCCCTGAGCAGGAAATCTAGCCATCCCTAATAGACTCAGGGATTGAAATCTGACCAATCCCCACCCTGAAAATCTCCCTGGAAAAACTATGCGCCCTAAGAATCCCTACATCAACCCTGTGTCTGTTTAGCTTGTGGCTGCTCGGCTGCCTCCTTCCACCCTGGCAGAGGCAGCCACTCTCCTGGATTCTTCCCTCCCATTAAATCTCTTGAATGAGGTTTGGGTGAAGACCTTCTACAGCTGAGCAGAGACAACCCTGGGCCAAGCAGAGCCCTTTCACTGGGGAAATCCTCCCCTGGCAAAGCAGAGTTGTTAACACTCTGCTCACCACTCTCCCTCCACTCTCAGGGGAGCAGAGCCCAACTGTAACACCTTTCCTGCAGGAGCAGAGCTGTTACATCATGTAGCTGCTCCCTGGAGTGGGGGAAGCCTTCCCTGAAGCAGGGCTGTAAGCTGCTATGTGGTATTCCTTGGCTCCAGAGCTCCAGGATACCTTTTCATCCTAGCTGTAACACTCAGTATCCTGTGAATCCCGAGTGCCAGAATATCTGTCCAATCCGATCTACCCCAAATGCTTACACAGTGCTTGCTAACAATTGTAACAATTGTGCTAGTCCAGCTAACCAGCTTGCCCAGGAGATCCCATCTGCTGAGGTTACAGGCAGGCAACCTACACCTGTTTTTATGTAGGTGCTGAGAACCTAATTCTATCTGCCCAGGCCCAGATTTCTCTAAATATTACCAACCACAAATTTAATGTATACCATATAAGAAAGTGCTTGAATAAGCTTAGTCTTTTGTACCAGCCTACAATCCACACTGCCAAAGAAGCTAATAAACAAGGAGGACCCTAAGAGAGACATACATGGTCCCCTAGAGAAAGGGAAAGGGTCAAGATCTCCTGAACAAATTGGGAGCACGGGAAGGGGGGAGGGAGCTAGAGAATGAGAAGGGGAGAAGGGGAGGGGTGCGGAGGACATGAGGTAGCAGAACGGTTGAGTCAGGGGAAGAATAGAAGAAAACAAGAAAGGAGATACCATAATAGAAGGAGATATTTTAGGTTATAGAGACATCAGGCATTAAGGAAAGGTCTGGAGATCTACAAAGATGACACCAACTAACAATCTAAGCAACAGAGGAGAGGCTACCTTAAATGCCCTCCCCTGATAATGAGATTGATGACTGACTTATATGCCATCCTATAACCTTCAAAAAACAGCTGGTGAAAGTAGAAGCAGACACTCACAATTAATCACTGAACTGAATTGGAATTCAGTTGCAGAGAAGGACGAGTGAAAAGCAAAGGGGCCCAGACCAGGCTGGTGAAACCCACAGAAACAGCTGACCTGAACA